GTGCTCTATCCACTGTGCCACCTAGCTGCCCCATATGTGTTCTTTTGATGTACGAATTGGTACCACTGATGACAATACAGGTATCATCATATATTGTGAGGGAAGAGAGATAGCCATAGATCCTGGTACTGGTGATCTGAACAGCTTGGGATGCTACTGCTGTCTCATTCTCTAAACTAAAACTGGAGAAGAAGAAGGTGGTTGGTTGTAAAGGCTGTGCCTGGGATTCTTTCTTTCTTTCTTTCTTCCTTCCTTCCTTCCTTCCTTCCTTCCTTCCTTCCTTCCTTCCTTCCTTCCTTCCTTCCTTCCTTCCTTCCTTCCTTCCTTCCTTCCTTCCTTCCTTCCTTCCTTCCTTCCTTCCTTCCTTCCTTCCTTCCTTCCTTCCTTCCTTCCTTCCTTCCTTCCTTCCTTCCTTCCTTCCTTCCTTCCTTCCTTCCTTCCTTCCTTCCTTCTTTTTATGACCCTTTCTTTAGCAGCTTGCTACTTCTCAATCACTGAGAGGGTAGCATGATCTGATTAGCACAAGTTAGAACACCCAGGCTTTCTTGCTGCCTGGAAGGGGGAAGTGATTTCATTGGTTGCCTTGGGAATGAAGCTGACTCTGCAATCCCAATATGGAGAGAACATAAATGCTTAGAGACACTTAGACTCTTAGGTTGGGATGCTATGAACAAGCCACTGAACTTTTTGTTTTAAATTCTAATTTATTGGCTATTTTGTAAATGGCTTTTTTTTTGCCTGAGCTATCTGATTCACATAGCACTTTGTTGTCTAACTCTTTAATGCATGTTTTACAGAATATAACTAATGTAGGCCTATGGGGATCCTGATACCAACTTCTCTTTGTGACTGTGACTCCATTTGGGGTTTTCTTGGCAAAGATACTGGAGTGGTTTGCTATTTCCTTCTCTAGCTCATTTTATGGATGAGGAAACTGAGGCAAATAGGGTGAAGTGACTTGCCCAGGGTCACCCAGCTAGGAAGTGTCTAAGGCTGAAATTGAACTCAGATCTTCTTCATTCCAGACCTGGTGCTCTATCCGCTGGACCACCCCCCTGCCCACTACCACCTTCTACTCTTATTGGTAAGTCAGATTTCCAGAGTAAGAAAAGACTTCCCCTCAGAGGCTTCTCCATCACCTCTACCCTCACTTATCTGCAGTTTCCCCCTTACTACTGGCTGCTTCCCTATTGCCTACAAACATGCTCGTGTCCCATCTTCAATAAGCCCTTACGCTATTCATCTATCTGTCCTAGCTATCATCACATATCTCTCTTCCTTTTTGAACTTTTAAGAGGACCCCAATTAAATCAGCTCCAGATGGGGTTTGGGAGGGCCTCACCTGATTTGTGTAGGAGGCAACCACATGAGAACTTTTCTCTTATTAAAGAGTGAGATTTTCTGTCCATCAGCTGAAACACTGCAGTGGTATGGAGCTTGCTGTTAATTCCAGAAGCTTTTGAATGCCTACCCATAGACCATAGATGATAGCCTCACTCATTGCTCTGGACCTGACATTAGGTATGTCATGAATCAGGAATCAGCAATCTCTTCTGGCCTATGGCTGGAGTTACCTGAATGTTCTCAGTCTGGGAATGCAGCTACTCACTATATACCTCCCATGCCTATCACCTTATTACTAGAGTCTGAGTCCTGACTTATGGAGCCCCACAGGACCCTGGGAGGATTCCTGTGGGCTAGGGTAGTCCTTCATGTAAGGGATGGGAGGAAGGACCAACCCTCTGAGAGAGCTTAGTCAATTCACAAATGTTCCTGGAATAATATCTAGTACTTTCTATGGAGTAGGGAATTTGCGAACTTTCTGGCCTTCACAACCATTTAGCTGCAGGGTGCACAAAGATTGGAAATGAGGATGTGGTTGCTGTACAAGATTTGTTGGGTTGGACAAAGAATAGGAAATATACTCTCCATGTGACTTATAGTCACATTGGAACAATCAATGCATAGATTCAGATTATCCATTTTCCGTGGCTGTGACTAAGGGGATCAGATAATTTAATGACCAGTAGAGCAGAGGATTAACGGTACCTGTAAGTTTCAATTGCCCTTTAATCAGACCACCTCAATTCCTAATCTTCATAGTTTTCTGGCTACTGTTAGGAGATTGTTAAGAGATCTCTGTTAGGAGATTGAAGGATTGGAGATTCCAGTATGTTTGAACCACAAGGCTTTTGTCTCCAACCACTGTATAGCTTTCTGTACCCATAATTATCACTTGCCAGAGGTACAAAGCAGTTCTTATACTCTGTTATGCAATTTGACATGCTGTTAGAGCATCTGGAATGGTTTTTCTCTTCATCTAACTGTTTTGCTGCATCTGTTGTATTCAGGCAAAAAGCAGAGAGCTCTGTATCTTCTATGCCAAACCAACAAGGCTGATGGTATCTTGCTACAGATCTACAGCAGCTTAAAGAATAAGGAGGGCTGGTGAAAATGGGATTCTTGAGTTAATGGAGACCATGTCTAGGGCTGGTTTGTGCTCAGCGCAGAAGGGAGGAATGTCTGGCCTCAGTTATGTCATAAAATATTGGGAATGAATGCTGTGACAATATCTTTGATCTGGGTGTTCTTAACCTCTGTTGACTCCCTAAAATAAAGGATCATCTCAAGACAGGGTGTATCCATGGCTGCTCACAGTAATTATCTTTGTTTTGTAAGCTCTGCCCATTTCTAGGTGTTTCTAGTTGGTGCTTTCTTTCAGGAGGTGATTGGTGGATTCTCTGTATTTTCACTTTGCCATCTAGATCTGGGAAGTTTTGTCATTTTGTGAAATGAGGCATCCAGTATTTTTGCATGGTTGTGATTTTTAGGGAGTCAGATGTTTTTAAAATGATCTCTCCTTCACTTGTTTTCTAGGTTAGTTTTTGTAAAGTAGTTACTGTGTATATTTTCAATCTTTTGACTTTGTTCTAATATTTCTTTTTGTCTTGTGGAGTTATTGGGACCTGATTGCTCCATTCTGTTTTTTCAGGGAGTCTGCTGCTTGGATGAGCTTTTCTACCTTATGTTCAAAGCTCTTTATTCTCTTTCCACATGTTTTCCCCTCAAGAGCTCTAATTTCAGTGTCTATGCAATTCTAGTGGATGCTTCTGTAGTGGTAGAGTTGCCCCACTGATACCAGATCCTTTCTACTCCCTTCTCTCTTCTGGAAAGGGTCAGAGCTGAATCTTGCTAGGCCTTGCTAATCTACTTGCAGAGGATTGGTTTAGGCTATGAAATTTGCTCCACGTTTCTCTGTCAAGTCCAGAAGCTTAGGACGTAATTGGCCTAGGGACAATATAATGCCCTTTAGGTCCACCTGGTCCTTCTCCCCACTACTCTATGGTATTTTTATTTGATGGAAAGTTATTAATACAATTGTAATATCCTAAAGCCCCCAGTTAGGAAAATTCTTAACATTCATACAAAGGTTTGACTCTCTGTCCTAATTCAAATTTTGTGTGTTTCCAGCTAACTCCTGGCTTCTTTCATTCTCTTTTTCTTGTCATGGACAATATACATGTACATCTATATGTATATACATATACATGGACATATACAATGTAAGTTTTCATGACCAACCCTGAGCTTCTTTATATGTTAAGAAAAATAGGAAACACTTGGGTAAGAGAAACAAAGCTTATATAATGGTACCTGTTACCGTACCAGCCTGGGGAGGAGGAGTTAGGGGAAGAATAGATCTTTTGGACCTTTCCTTATTCCTTGAAGAGGCAGTTTGAGGTTGTGGGAAGGAGCTTCCTGGTGTTTCTTCTCAGTTTTCTTTATTGTAGCCCTGCCCTGGTCCCTTTCAGGGATTTCCAGGAGAGCTGGGTTCCTTAGTGACCTTTTGCATCATGATCTTAACTTTGAAGTCAATCTGTTGTATAATAATCATGCCTTATGGACGACCCAGACAGTCCCTAACCTGAATTGAATTCGGAGGCGGGGTGGAATTATAGATACACCCTATCCAATCACAGCTTGGGTGGGAATCCAGTATTGAAGTGGCCAATGAAGCCTGACTCCATTTAATCCCTTATTCCTGTCTGTGGTCCAGGGCTTCTGCCTTCCCTGTTACTACTGAGGGGACCACCATCCTCCTGGTCCCTCAGTCCTCCTGGATTCCTCACTATTGCTCACTCTCCATATCACTGGTCCAGGGCTTCGTTGGGGTGAGCTGGAAGGGGCACAGGGAGCATGCGGCTCAACAAAATATCTAGAGACCATCTTCCTCGTCCTGCTCAGACTCCTGCCCCCATACTTAGTGTGGGAGTGGTGAGACCTAAGATTCAAGTTTCCTGTATTTGTGCAGAAAGCTATCTTTGGGAGAGGTTAGGACAGGGGTGGGGAACCTGCAGCCAGCGAAGGTCAAATGGCTGTACTGGAGGACCTAGAGGGCTACATGTGGCCTCGAGGCTGCAGGCTCCCCACCCTGCTAGGAAATCCTAATGTTTTGATCATTGCATTTATAGCCCTGTCTAGGTGTCTGGGTGTGCACCTCTCAGCACATGCGTATGCAGTGTGTGTGTGTGTGTGTGTGTGTGTGTGTGTGTGTGTGTGTGTGTGTGTGTGTGTGTGTGTGTACATCCATCTCTCCCCAGGTCTTTAATTCTGAGGGTGTGTGATGATTTGTCGCTCTGTATCTGTTTACATCTCTGCATCTGTATACGTGTTTTTGTGCGCACATCTGGACATGTTTCTTTGTGTCTCTGGGTGTCTATACGTTGCTCTGCGTGTGTCTGCGCATCTTTGGGTGTCCACGTGTAGGTGCCGTGGCTGTGTGTTTGTATCCCTCGGTGTTCGCGTGTTGCTCCTTGTATATCTGCATGTTTGCAAATCAAAGCAATGTGTTGGTGTGTTTGTGTCAGGAGGTGTGTGTGTGTGTGTGTGTGTGTGTGTGTGTGTGTGTGTGTGTCTATGAGTCTTTGTGTTGCTGCATGGGAGTATAAAGAGATTTCGCATCTATGTGTGTGCGTCTGTCTGTTTCTCTGCATTTTTAGGCAAATATGCTGCCCTGGATGCAGGGGCGATCCCAGCCCTGCTGGAATTGTTGGAGATCAATGTGGTCAAGATGCGCTTGAATGCCATCAAAGCGCTCACCATGTTGGCTGAGGCACCCGAGGGCCGGCGAGACCTGCTCCCAGAAGTGTACAGATTCAAGGCGCTGATCAGTGACCCAATCCTGGCTGTGAGCCGGGCAGCCGAGATTGCCACCAAGGTCATCGAGTGGAAGCCCTGAAGTCACAGCCCCCCAGGAGGACAGACCTATGAGCTGGGCCAGGCCCTGTCCTTGACACCCCTAATAATGATCATGAATGTCTAACTGTTATGCCTCATGCTTTATTCTAGCCGCACCCCAAGAATCTCATGTCCATCCTGGGAGGCGTGGAAAGGCCCTGGCTAGACCCTTAGCCCTAGCTTCCTAACAATTAGAGCTAACCAAAGATAGAATGGGGCTGTGGAGGGTGGTAGTGATTTCCCCAGGACCAGAAGTATTGAAGTGGCTTCCTGGAGGATCATTTTTTTCCGATACGTTAGAGAGAAGATTCCCACCTGCCTAGGAGTTAGGATATACTCCCAGGCTCCTGGCCTAGTGCTGGAAGGGACCTGAGATGCTCAGAGGGGAAGGCACTTGTCACACAAGAAGTGGGTGATGGGGTCACACTCAAACCCTAATTTCCTGGGCCTCTGCACTCCACCTTGATGCCAGCCCAAATCCAAATAGCCTGGCTGACAGACAGACAGAGAAGCATGACGAGGTGGTTTGGGGTGCCTGCAGGGGACCTGGGTGCAGGGGCTTTATGGATACTGTTTCTGGATGAGGCTAGAGCCAAGGCTCCCAGCCCACTGGGCCACCTCTTGGCTTGGCCCTGCAGTGGCTAAGATGGAGGCAGAGGGGGCCTGCTTGGCAGGTTCTCAGATGACATCAAGTTGAGAGGGACAGCTCATCTACTGAATGGCAGTCCAAGTCAGAAAAGGTGTCAGCAGATGAGATCAGGGCCAAATCAAATCAAATGAAATCCGCTAGGGATCAGCGTGGCATTGTAGGCTCATGAATTTGGAGCTGGGCAGGACCTCAGAACCCATCTGGTCACACTCCTATATTTTACAGATGAGAGAAACTGATTCCCAATGGACAGAAAGTCAATGTCAAAGCTGGGGATTGAATCCAGGCATGGTGGGGAGGCACACCTAGACAAGGATCTAAGTGAAGAGGATCTGGTAGACCGCAAGCTCAGCAGCCCAGAAAATGAACCGTATCATAGGCTGAATTGAGATGAAGGCCCCAGAAGGAAGGAGGCCTTAGTCCTGCCACCCCTTCAGTGAGTCAGAAACATTAAGCACCTGCTGTATGCCCAGCACAGTGCTAGGCACTGTGGATGCAAAAAGAGGCAAAAGTCAATCCCTGCCCTCAGGGAGCTCCCTGTCTAATGGGGGACACTCCATGCAAACCAATCTATACAGAGTGAGCTCTATGCAGGAGTGTAGAGGGAAGGCACTAGAATTCAGAAGGGTTGGGGAAAGGTTGCCTTGGTCAGACCCCATCTGGAGTTCCAGTCTGGGGCCACTGGCAGGGCAGTCAAAAGTTGGAGTGATTTCAGAAAAGAGGGAATAGGGTGGAGAGGGGGCTTGAAAACCATGACATGTGAGAATGAGTGTGAGCAGAAGGGGATGTTGGGCCCAGAGAGGAGGAAAGTGAGGGGAATGGGGGACTTATTAACTCTCTTCAGATATATGAAAGTCTTTCCTATGGGACTTGTGAGAGTGGGCTTGGGTTCAGAGGACAGAGCTAGGATTTCTGTGGGAGTGGGTGCGTGTAAGCAGAGGCGCAGAGAACCAGAGTTCAGCTTGATGTCGGGAGAACGGAACCGTCCCAAAGAACAATGGGCCACCTTGCCAGGATATGGTGTTGCCATTACTGGAAGTCTTATCTTTTAAAGGATCCTGGGTGACTCACGTTATTGTTGGAAATTGGGGTTAAGGAAGTGATATGGTTTATGATTAGATAGTGAAACATTTGGGGGTGGGGCTATGGTCAGGTATCTGCTTGGTCAGGGTTCTGGAGACAGAGTGAAGTGTATGGCCTGGGTTGGTGATCATGGTCAGCGCTGGAGGTGGGGAGTAGTGGCTGCAATGTGGCATCAGGGGCATGGGGCAGAGCCACAGGGCGACGATGGGTGGAGTTATTAGGCATGCTTAGTGACAAGGACAAAGTGAGAACATTGGAAAGGATGAGGGCTTTGGAGGTATGTGAGAGGGAACAGCCTGGATGTATGGGCAGGGTTAGAATGGCACAGTTGGTGACCTCAGTGGAGCAGCATGGGAGAGGTAAGGGGTCCAAGGCATCCTATTTGGTGTAACACAGCCTGAAGTCTGCAATGAGCATGGCAGAACAGCTAGTGGGCCCCAGTGCCACCCGGCTGGGCATGGCACTTCTCCTTGCATTGATGGGCATGTAGGGAGTAGCCATGCTCCCATGCTGGGTGCAGCTCCAAGAGGCAAACACAGCCATGCCACTCTGACTGGGGTAGCAGTGGCGTAGGCATTTGCTAGAGGCAGCTGCCATCAGTTTGTTTCCTGTGCCAGACACTGAACGCAGGCTTCTCTGAGGCAGTATCAGAGCTTCTTCTGATGCTGGTGACTTTGAGAGCAGCTATTCTTCATTCTGGGGAAGCCAGAATAAAGAAGCAGCCCCACCAAAGGGGCCTATGTATCCATCAGCAGACATGTCTATTCCTCCCTTTTCTCCCAGGCTGGCATTGCCTTGCCAGTTTCATAGTCTTGGCCCTCATCCTACCAACATTCATGCCCCCAGCCCCATATGATCCCCACCAAGCACCTTCTCTTCTTGCATGACCGAGCTGCGGAAGCCTGCTGGAAGGATTCACCCCACCGCTCCAGCCGGTCCACCACAGATTCACCTCATCTCCCCTTGGGCGGGCCCTCGCTGCTGCACGGACAACCTTGTTCTTCTGGCCTTTGCTATTTGCACCAAACCTTCTCTTTCCTCCTCCAGCACCCTCCTTCTCAGCACATGTTCTAGCCCCCTACTTTACTGAGAAAAATAGAGGCGTCTCCCATGGAGCTCCTTTTTCTCCTCCCTCTGTCCTTTAAAACCCCTTTGCATCTTTATCCATTGTCCCCTCTTTGGGTCCATCACAGCAATCCTGAATCTCAGAGATGGCAGGGAATGCAGTAGTTCTCTGGTCCATCCCACATCTGAGCAAGAATTCTTTGTATTACATCCTCCTCTGAAGGGGGAGACACCCAGTCTTGAGGTTCCGCTCTGGGACAGCTCTCATTGTGAGCAGATTCTTTCTCACCTCAAGCCTAAATATGCCTTATTGCAACCTCTCCACCTGGCTCCTGGTTCTGCCCTGTGGGGCCAAGAAGACCACACCCATTCCCTCTTTCTCATGACATTTAAACCAGCTCTCACATCCCCAGCCTGTGAATTCTCTTCCTCTCCCAGGCAAACAACCCCAGTTCTTTCAAACGATCATCATAGGGCCATCATCACGGTAGCCTCAAGTAAGGGAGAAGGTGGCCTGGATTGGAGAATGGTTGGTAGGTAGGATTGAGGGTCTGGCCAGGTTTGGGGGGCACATATACAGCAGTGGAGATGGTCAGGCTTAGGGTTAGACCCAAGTGATGATGAGGACTGAGGCCCTGGGCACAGTGTGCATGTTGGGAGTGGAAGAGGTGTCCAGAGGCATTTTGGGGCCTAGGACCATGTGTTGTTGCAGTCCTGGTCATTAAGACCACCAGGTGTGACCAGGGCAAAGGACAGCCTTCAAGGTAAGGAAGATGTGGGGGTGGGGAGAGGTGAGCATTGGAGGGAAGAGGACAGGGAATGTGAGAGGTTGAAAAGACCTTGTGACCTGCAGCTGTGTGCTGGGCGGCACCCCTGACTCTTCTAGGAGGTGAATGAATGGGAGAAAATTTCATAGTATGGAACTTCTCCCTTTATAGTGGACAACTTATTTTAGCACTGGGCAGGGTTAGTGTCACCATCTACAAGGTCCTTTGACAAAAGCCAAAGTCTTAACAACCCCCTCTGATCCCACCGGGGGGGTACTCCCAGATTAAAGAATTCAAGGAGCTGGCCACATATGGATTGGTGACAGGTTTGTGCAGACCAAGTACCATGTCAAAATGAAGGCTGATGCCAAGGTGGTGGGGGTTGGCTGGCATCATTCCCATGGACTTGGACTCCATGCACAAGCCACTATCCCTTGCTCAGCCCCTGGACCCATGACTTGGGGGCCCATACACTCACAGATTTAGATCTAGAAGTCCAATCCTCTTATGTTTTACCAGACCTAGAGAGGTTGAATACTTGCCTAAGGGAACTCCGATCATAAGTGTCAGATTTGAGCCCTAGTCCTCAGACTCCACTGCTATTGAAGACGTGTCCTCCCTTGCCAAGGAGGTTATAAGAAACTGTAGAAAGGTGCCCCCTGCTCTCATCCCCCTCCCTTGCAGGCAGCTCTGCCAGCTTTCCCTTGGCTTTCTCCCCCTGGCCCCAGAGCCTGAGAGCAGATCTCAGTCTGAGAGAGCAGACTGGGGCTGCCTCGTCTGGTTTTTATTTCTGGTCCCAAGCACAGCCCAACCATTGATCAGCAAACCTGAGAGATGGATGTCCTGGTGATCACCTCCCTCACTCGAGAGATCTCAGGCTCCTAAGTGAGTTTCAGCTACCTGGCAGGAGGCGTTTCCTGCCAGGACATCTGAGGGGAGAAGGCTACCAGTGACAACATCATTCAGAACCTGAAGGAATGAAGAGCTGTCCCTGACTGACCAAGAGATCTGAATCTTATGAATTGTCGAGAAGGCACAGACCTGATGGGAAAGGGTGTGAAGTGCTGCAGGGCCGAATCTCCCCCCCAGGAGACTCTAATGGGTATGCATGATGGATACACTTGGGAGTCTTTGGGGGTTTAATTATGTCTTTTGTGGTCAAGGAAATATAGAGCCGGCTGTCCCCGATGCTTACTTGGTAGGTCCGTTGAATACCTGTTCTAGAGGAGACCCTGATAGTGCTTTCAGGAGAGACCCCATGTAGGAGTCATACCTAAACTGAGTTTAAGACAATTTCTCTGCTCAAGGTTAGGGGAAGAATAAGCCAGAGGGCATGAGAAAACCCCGACTCTCTTTGGGGTTCAAATATTCCCTTAGGACTGAATCCAGTCTATGCGAATCCATAGAGTTCACCCCCATGTCAAGGGTCACAACATGAACATGAACATGAACCTCGCCTGCAGGGATGGTCCCATCCTTGAGATGTGATGGAAAGAATGTTGGCGGGAGCCAGGATGTGGC